CCCCCGACCGCGCGTGCGCGGGCTCGCCCGGGCAGCCGGGCCGCCCCTGGGTAAGCCTAGCGGGCCGTCCCCAAACTTGAGCGTGCATCAGAGCCGCCTGCCTTCCACCTAGTTTCCCGATTCTGCAGGGGTGGGCCCCAAGACAGTGCATATCTAACCAGTGCCCCGGGGATGCCCATGTTGCAGCTCCCTGGGCCACACTGTGTCCACACCGAACCAAGTACCCGCTGATGTCGCGGCCTGGCACGTAAGTGGTCAGTGCAATTTTTATTTCCATCGTTATGATTTATTACATACGCATTTAAATATCTATGTAATGCATATTAAGCATAGGAGAAAACGTAATACAACTACACTTGGAAGAAGAAATAAAAATTACACCGTCCACAGAAAATAGGATGCAGGCTTGAACCATCCTGTTTTGAGATCAATCTTGCCTTCATTCATGCCACAAATAAGACAAAGAGCACCCACCAGCTGTAGGCCAGGCCGTGAGCTTCGGGATGGGGCTCGGCAGAGGACGGGACACAGACGATGCATGTCAGGAGCTCCCAGACACCCGAATAGAGATTTGCCCAAGGTGATGTTTGCTAGAAGAGAAGAGGGGCTTCTCTTCAGCTTGTGGAGCCAGGGTGGTGATCAGGGTAGGTTTCCCACTCCGACCCGTGGAGAACACAGCTCCGTTTTCTTGGTTCAAGTAGTAAAATCCCAATGATAACGGAAATAGTGAACATTTCCTATGTCACCACATTCAATTTTATCCTCCTGATACCCCTATGAAACTAATATCATTATCTCCATCTACAGATAAGAAATTTGAAGCACAGAATCCCTGAGCCTCAGCCTCCTTCTGTGTAGAAAGGGAGTAGTTACCTGCATTTGGGGGGTTGTTGTGAGAATGGAATGATGAGATGCACATAATGCTTTCAGCAGGTGCATGCCACACACACCACGTTTAATAAGTAGCAATGGTAATGTCAGTGACTGTTGCTGTTTGATTGAGAGCAGAGGAGAAGGAGGGTGGCAGTAGCTGTCATTTGGTTGGTTTGGGTTTTTTTTTTTTAAGGGACCGTCATAGTCATCATTTCAGCCTGAATGAGTTGCCCAAGTTCCCACTGGGGCTTTGTAAGAACCAAGCCTAGAGTCCTTTTCTCCCCCTTCCCAGCACCTCCAGAGGAACCCAGATGAGCCTTAGAGTGGTCAGGAAGAGAAGGCAGGAGAAGGCAGAAAGGAAGTGACTGCCTTTGGAAACGGAGGACTTGCCTCGTACCTGGCAGTAGCCTTGGTACCATAATCTGTCCATCCATCCTCTAGTAGGGTAAGGGAGGGGCAGCTCTCTTCTCCTCAGAAATAACCCATCAATATCTGAACCAACGGTCAGTTAAGGGAAGAAAACTCATCCATGTCGAACACTAGTCAGGAATCTTGTAGTTGTAAGTGACAAAACCCCATTCACAGTGCCCTAAGCAAAAAGGGATCTTCTGGCTTACACGTACCTCCAAAGCCTGGGAATATATTGGATGGATTCAGGAACAGCTGGATCTAGATGTTGAAAAGATAGTGTCAGGATTCCATCTCTCTCTCTCCATCTCAAAGCTCTACTTTCCTCTGTGTTGGCCTCACTCACAGGCAGGCCCTACGGCACCAGGCTTACCTCTCAATGGGACAAGCCCCTTCTTTCCCAACAGTTCTAGTGAAAGTCACAGAATGTGGCCTCACAGGCCTTGCTTGAGTTATGTGCCCTTCCCTGAACCACCATTGAGACCAGGGACTCTGGTTGGCCTGGTCTGGATCATGTGAGTGAGGGTGAAGTAGTGCCCCAAACAAAATTCCTGTGCTGTTTCTGAATTAAACAGGAATGGAGGCTCAGACAAAGAATGGATGTCTGTCACACTTGTACGAGTCCATCAGTTCTTAGCAGAACCCGGTAGGTAGCTCTTGTCTTCCTGTTAGCTACCCGAGGAAGCGAAGGTGCCAAACAGTGGAGAACCAGGGAATAGCAGAGCGGAGCCCACCTGCCACTGCCCCTGATGAGGTCTCTTTGGTCTCAGGCACCCTGCAGTCCAGCCCTGCGACCACCTCCCCATCAGGATCCCTGAGCGGCTCCCAGGACGATAGCGATTCCGATATGGCCTTCAGTGTCAACCAGTCCTCCTCGGCATCTGAGTCATCCCTGGGTAAGGAAGTGCAGCCCTCGGGGATGGGGGCGGGGCGGGTGCGGGGTGGGGGGGCTGGCAGCTGGTGGCTGGCCTGGCTCCTTCGGCTGTGCCAGCCCTTCCTGGGGCTAAGCAGAGTGGCCACTTTACCCCCTGCATCCTCTCCTTCAGCTGTAGCGGAGGAGAAACATCTGGATATGGCATCCCAAAGGGTGATAATGGTGCTGGATGCTTGTGGGAGGGGAGACAGGGAAAGGGGCAAAATCTGGAAGAAAAACCAAAATTGGTGTTTCCCAAAGTGGTTCCCGCACAGATTCTGCCACCTGAGAACCATGTGTTAGGGTCTGCCTGTGCTCCCTTTCTGCAGTGACGGCCCCCAGCTCCCCGCTGAGCCCGCCAGTGTCCCCCGTGTTCCCCCCGCCAGAGCTGGCGGGCAGCAAGAATGGTGAGTGTACGGTGTGCTTCGACGGCGAAGTGGACACGGTCATCTACACGTGTGGACACATGTGCCTGTGTTACAGCTGCGGCCTGCGGCTCAAGAGGCAGGCCCGGGCCTGCTGCCCCATCTGCCGGCGGCCCATCAAGGACGTCATTAAGATCTACAGGCCATAGCCTGGCCCGCCGACCACAGGCCTTGACCAGAGCAGGGTCCCCTTTCTGAAGCCCCCCTGGGCTGGGCAACCACCATGGCCACCAGGGAGTCCAAAGGCAGCAGCCTTCTCGTCTGCCGCTCTCCCGTGGTGGGCAAGGCGTGACAGTCATGGAGACCAGGCACCCCCACCCTGGGGGCGGTCTGAGTCCAAGCGAGGGTTGCTTCTGGCTTGAAAGTGCTTTGGCCCCAAAAGGCCGTCCCGAGAGCAAGTTCGGGAACGGCCTGGCAGATGGACCCACCCCCCAGTGACCTCTCCGCTGGGAGGCGGCATCCTCTGTGCAATGGCTTTTGCTGGGGTTGGGTTGAGTGTGTGTGAGAGAAGGGGAGGGGAGGGAGGGAGACAGACTGGGGCGGGGGGCATGTGAGGGAATGAGTGAGGGGGAACGTGTAGGTATTTATCCAGGGATCCTGGCTCTACAAGGTTATTTAACACTAAGGAATGTGCAATGCTCAGCCCAGACGGTAGCTAGCGCAACCAGAAACTGCTTTCTGGGGCTGTGACGTCAGCTGGTTTTGAATGTCTGAAGCCTGCACCTAAACAGACCTCCCTCAGATGGTATAGAAAAGGGACACTTAGATTTTCTAAAGGGAGGAAAAAATAGCTCATTGTTTACAGCTCCAGAAGCGGCAACTCCTGGGGGGATAGGTGGGCGGAGAACATAAAAGAACAATTTACTTTTTCCGTTTCTGGCTCAGTCTTGGAGAGGAGTTTTGATGGGTGCTGGGGCTGAGAGCCCTGGGCTGTCCCCTCCAGAATCTTTTCACCCCTTCGCCCCCAAGCAGCCTGATAATAAGCTCTCAGCCCCTTGACTCGGTTCCTAGATGCTTTAAGTCTGTACCACCCTTGCCATCTCCTAGAATAAGACAGCAGCAGGTCCCCTTCTCCTGGGGGAGGGACAGCAGCCTAGCAGATGACTCCCCTGGAGGCAGAAGGGCCACCGCCGCTCTCCACGTTTCCCGCTGTAACGCGGGGCCTGGCGTTCACCGGCAGCTGTGGGCACCGCCAGGGCGGCCTGCTGGCCAAGTAGGAGGAGGAACCAGGGCTTTGTAACTGGTCTTTGTTCCCGTTCTCAGCTTCTCTTCCCCTGCAGATTACTAGGATGCTAATTGATCATCAGGATGCTAACTAGTAGATGAGACTCCTACTGAAAATGCTCACTTTGGGACTCTCCCCCTTCCCCAGGGCTATTTTCTGGGCAGTTCCTGAGACCCTGGCCCTGCCCCCACCCCCTCACCCCTGCCTGTGCCCATCTCTGCAGACGCCCGGACCACACCAGGGCTGACCGGCTGGCAGGCCTGCAGTTCCCTTCTGAGCCCGAGTTCTCGGCCCCTCCTCTGCCGTGTCTTGTGCCAGGCCTTTCGGGAAGACCCCGGGCCAGTTTCTCAGCTCCTGGTGTGTCCTGGAGGAAGCCTAGCATCTGCCCACTCCAGAGCTCTTGGAAGGACGTCCTAAAGAGCCCGAGGCACCTTGTGAAGAACGGGCATAGTTTTTATTACAATTCCTAATCTGTCCATCTGCTGAGGGAGGCAGGGAACGGAGAACACTCAGAATTGAGGCATTCATATGACAAACATTTGCTGGATTTCTGGAGTCCCTCTCGTCAGACTGAGTCCCTTAAGACCAGTCTCTCCGTGCCCTCGTGATGCTTCAGGTTTTGGACCATCTGTTTCTTCTCTGCCTGGTGTTCTGACCTGATTGCAGCTTCGAAAGCCTCACTCTTGCCCCTGGAAGAACCCCTGATTGGTTCTTCTTCCCTGGTGAATTTGGGAAACACGCCCACATTTGAATTTTGCAGCAGAATCTTTTTGGGGAACCCTAGCATTTGCCAAGTTAAGAGTCTAGGCAGTGCTCGGTGCCCAGCTGAGTTTGGGCAGCCAGAGCCTTCCGCTTCCCCCACGTGCTGGCCGTGGGCAAGGCCACACACAGGCCCCGTGTGACAGGGCCCTTCACCCCCTGGGACCGTGGTTCTCCGGGCAGCAGCGCCCCTGTCTGGATCGAGCCACAGTCACAAGCTTCGGTGGTCCCGGCAGCCTCCGGGGGCCAGCTCCTCTCTCCTTCAAGGGCCTGGACGCAGGGTGGGTCAGGCCATGCACCTGGCACCCTGTTACCTGGGAAGGAAGGAGCTGGTGGCCGGTTTAACTTGCTCTGCAGCCGCTATAAATAGCCTCTTGGTTTCCAAGGGGGCGTTTATCTTCTAAAAACCAGACATTTCCTGATGCTCTAAACTGATTTAGTCAGTGCTGCAGAGGAGCTGCCCACATGGCTCTGTAGGTTCTGTCTGGAGAAGGGGCAGGAGCGGCAGGAAAGGAGACCACTCTCCTTTATCTTCCATCACCGTGTACCCGGCGCTGGGCTAGGGAGCTGTGTCCACACGTCAGTCCCGCGAGGTGGGTCTTGGTACCACATTGAATCGTATCAGAGACACCGCCAGTTACAAAAACGCACCATCCTATGTGCCACTAAGGAACAAAACGTGGCCAGTTTTAACTGTAAGATGCTGTGGCTCCACAATTCATTTTATTCAGACAAGCTATGTGGAAAAACTGTGCCCTTTAGAATCAATGAAAGACGGTATTCTCCCCATTTGGCAGGTAAGAGAACTGAGGTCCTGGGAAGCCGAGTGGCTTAAGATCACGCAGCAGGAGGCGGCAGGGCTGGGATTCAAACCCAGGAGTGCCTGCTGCCAAATCCCACACGCTCCACTGCCTGGTCCCCGGCCCGGAAGCTCCAGACTGCCTGAGTGAGTGCCTTGAAGCTCACCTGGGCAGCCCCCAGAGAGGGCCTGGGCACCTGCACCTGTGTGGAAGGTTCCAGCCCCCGACTGCAGCCCCCCACTGCTGCCCGGACCCTGGGAGGACGAGTGCTCTTCTTTCTAGGCTCATCTGCGCACTGCCCACCTCCTCCCAGCGGAGCTGAGCTGTGTGAGAGCTTGGGTCCAACCCGAGCGCCTCCTCCTGTTACATAGTGGCGCTCATGTGGGGCAACCTTGGGGAGAGGCTAAGGGCCTTGTGCTCCCACCTTCCTGGGCCTCGTGACCACCACCCCCTTAAGCAGGGCCCCCAGGGGTGGGACAAGGGAGACCAGAGGATGCCCCCTTTGTTGTGGTCTGATGCCTGTTCATTTTGAACCCATAGAGAGATTGGGCTGTTTCCAAGTCAAGGAGAACGCCTCTTCCTAGCCTACTCCCAGAACTGGGTGTCCTCTGAGTCTTCGCTGCCTGGGGCAGCTGTTCCCCCAACTGTAGCCGCTCCCTTTCCGTCATTCAGCAACCACTGGTCAGCATAGCCTGTGTTCTGGATGCAGGGTTGGGAACTGGGACTAAAGACAAGGCCTGCAGGGAGCTCACGGTCCAGAGCAGGAGGTGGGCAGATTTGTAAACCTGTATTTGGCTCCTCCAGTGCTGGGTCTCGTGCTAGCATGTAGTAGGTCCCCATTAAAGCTTTACTGAGTAAATCAGAGATCGAGTTATGAGTGTTCAGGAGTTTGGTAAGACACCATGTATACATGCACCTAGTCATTCAACAAACATTGGCTGAGTGCCTACTAGGGTGGGGTGCTGGGAGGACGGAACTGAGAGGACAAGGCCCCTGCTCTAACGTCAGAGAGAGTGACATGAGACATTTGGGGCAGAACGCACTGGGCTTTCTTGGCCATTCTGTTGCCTTGGGGGTCTATCTTAGTGAGTGCACAACTGCTTACCTGACCCAGAGCCTCCTGCGTGCCTCAAAAAGCCTTCTCTGCATTAGAAATGCCAGGCACCTTGCAGTCAGGGAGCTGCTGCCAAAACAGCCTTGGGCAGAACCCTCAAAGGCCCTACCAGCCAATGATCGCCCTCAGGTCTTGCCAGGGAGACATGGGGAGATGGCTACCTGCTGCTTTCAGGCCTTGAGACTGGTGGCTGGAAATCGCCAGAGAACCCCCAGTCCATTCCAGCTGAGCATGAGGTCCGTGCGGGGTCTCGGTGAGCGAGAGGCAGTAACCTTCCACGGCTCAGTCCCGTCTCTGCCCTGATTCTGGCAGAGGGACACCGGCTCAGGAAAGCGTGGCCTCCTGGCATTTCTCGGTATTTAATTGTCCCACTGTCTCAAGTCCCTAATGAGATGACTTGTACAACTATCTGTCTGTGCCTTATGAAAGTGTCTGTGCACTTTTAATCCCTTTTAAAAGCAACTTTGAAAAGTGGACCGGGGACTGGTATAGATGGTAATGTTCTGGAAATCTGTGATCATCGCTGAAACCTTTCTGCATTGTGTATTTGACGTTGGAGTGATGAAGCGTGTGTCCCCCGCCCCACCCTCACTACCTGTGTACAGACCTTTTAAAAAATGTCTCTTTTTCTTATTTTTCTGATTCAATACTGTGACCTCTCCAATACAGTCTAATCCTTGGGGAATCTGTAATAAAGGTTTCAGAACCTGGGGGGATGGGTTGGGAAGGGTTTGCACTGGTCCTGTGTATTGTGCTTTTGTGTGTTGTGTGTTTTGATTTTTGTTTGTTTTTATCTGTTTTATATTAACATGATTTACCTGTTAAAAAAATACAACTTTGGCTTCTTAAAAAAGAAAGTCTCTTCAGGACTCTGTTTTAAAAATCACAGTTGCATACACTGCTGGGGAGTGGAGGTGAGGGATACAAATCATTGCCAGCTCTGAGGAAACAATTTACAAAACGCCTATAGAACCCTGAGAATATCTGAGCCTTTGGCCAAATAACTCCTGAGAAAATATCCCAAGGAAATAATTCTAATTGAGGATAATCTCTATATGTAAAGATGTTCATTGCAGCGTTATTTATAAAGGTTAAAAATTATAAGCAACCCTAATGTCCAACAACCAGGGTTTACAGTTGGCCCTCATTGCATCATCAGGGGATTGGATCCAGGACCACCCCCACCTCAAAGTACCCACAGATGCTCAAGTCCCTTATATAAAGTGGTGTAATGTTTGCATGTAGCCTATGCCACCCTGCTGTATACTTCGAATCATCTCTAGGGTAATTATAATACCCAATGCAATGTGAATACTATGTAAATAGTTGCCAGCATAGAAAATTCAAGTTTTGCTTTTGGAACTTTCTGGAATTTTTTTTCAAATGTTTTCCATCTGAGGCTGGTTGAATCTATAGGTGCAGAACTTGGGATTATGGAGGGCCAACTGTATTTGTCAGAACTCTTGGTTACAAGCAACGGAAACTCAACCCAAACTGGCCTAAGGGGATTAAAAGGCCCGGGAAACTGAGAGTCTGGTACCAGGACCCAAGAACCCCCTTCAGGTGCATTTGGATCCAGACTCTGAAAGGTTGCAGCGGGACTTGATCTGTCCCCCTCTACTCTCTTTTGTCCCCCATCCCCAGGCAGTTTCTCAAGACAGCTGGCAGCAGGTCCAGGCTACATCCTGCCTTTATGGACCAAACTGGATCATGTGACACTTCCTTAACCAATCATGAAAGCCAGGGAAATGCAGGGCTCTGACTGAACAGTCCCAAGACAAGTGCTCACCTCCAGCCAATAGGTGCCCCTGTGGAACTGAGAGTGGGGAAACCAGAGACCCCAGGGAAAAACTGGAGTAATGATGAAGGGAAACTGGGCAGGCAGAAACAGTGGATCTCTCTCTAAGAAAGGTTGAATAGAGCATGATCAGATACATCCCTAGGTAATCGTGTGAGCTGTGAAGCCAGACAGGCGGGTCCTCACCACCACTTAACCTCTTTGTGCCTCAATCTCCTCATCTGCAAAGCAAGGACACGTAAGCGCTCCTGATTTTAGGATGAGCGTGAGCATTATTAAGATCATGCCGGTGATGTGCTAGGCACAGTGTCTGGCACTCAGCAAAGAGTTTATAACAGGGGAACTTGTTTATATTCAAAATAAGCCTGGAAAAATCAAGGTATAAAACTGCACATACACTCTGATCTCATGGATGAAAAACAACAGCAACAACAAAAAACCCCGCAGCAACAACCAATAGCCTCCAAACCTGGAATGATCAACAGAAGAGAAGCAAATAGGGGTTGCGTCTGGGTGATGGCATTACTGGTAACTTTCCTCCACTGTGTTTTCCAGTTTTTCTAAAATGACCAATTACTACTTTTAATTTAAACTTATTTGGAAAAATTATCCCCCTACTCTGCAAAAACCCACAGGAACAGCTGGCCCTTGCTGGAATTCATCAGGAACTCCCAGGCTAATTGTCTGCATTTGAGATCCAAATTTAGTCACGGTGGAGATAAGGGCCTGGAAGGCTCTAGTGGAGGCCAGGCCAGACTGACCAGTTTGGTTGGGCTTCCTGCAGGCCAGGCCTTAGGGCCCAGATTTCTGAGATGGAGCCTCGCAGCGGTATCAGGAGTCGGGGGAAGGGAGAAGTGAAGTTGCTGCCCAGGCCTGCTCCTCCTGGCTTGTTGGAACAGCCCAGCCTGGTGACACTGGATTTTAGAAACAGCAGGGTAAGGGAAATGAACCAGGATTTATCAAGCAGAAGAAACCATGATTTTCACATATTTTCTCAACGAATCTTGGCAACAATGTCTGTCTCCTCATTTTACAGGGTGGGGCTCTGGCTCCCTCCAAGGTAGGAGTAGCCAGGTGTGCTTGCTCCAGAACAAAGGCAAAATTTTCAGAGGCACCTTTTGTACCCTTCTCCCTAGGTCCCAGAGATGGAGTCTTCCGAGAACCCAGGCTTCTTTCTTTCTTCCTCGACGCCCTCCCCTTGACAGCACCCACTCCTATGGGGCCAGCAGATATTTTCATAAGTGCCATCTGATAATCAAGACTTTTTTTTATTAATAAAGGAGGGAAAAAGACCATACTTACCTTTTTTGGTTACAGGAGACTGAAACCCAATTCAATAAAAACCTAACCTAAGAAATGACTCACAACTAAGCAGGTCATTCTGGCTTCAGGTATGGCGTGATCCAGGTGTTCACATGACGTTAAAAGGCACCTGCCTCCGTCTCTCAGCTCTGCTTTCCTCTGGGTTGACATCACTCTCAGGCAGGGTCTCCCTTTATGGTATCCAGGATAGCCTTCAATGGTTCCTAACCTACAACATGCCAGCTTAGAAGCTCTTTAAAAGTTTTAGGAGAAGTTCCAGGGCTGCCTGTCTTTCCTTTGACTCCTTAGATGAAAAGCTCAGTCCCTGAACCAATTTTTGTCACATAGCCACACCGGATACAGAACCGGATACAGTATGACCTGCCCTTGCCCTCAAGAAATCAACCGATCTGGAAAGAGAAGGCAGACCCAAGGACAGACATGTTCAGACTAGCGTAGTCCTGAGGCTGCTGGGACAGATCAGATCCAAGGCAAAAAGGCTCTGAATGTAATGATGTACTTTAGTGATGTAATTTAGGCATCCTTCTTTCTCCTGGTTGTTCAGGCTCTTATGGATGCCTGGGTCATGCTCCCTGGCACATTATATCTTTTTGTCGGTTGCTTCAGTATATAAAGCCTGTGCCCTGACCCTCCCCATCCCCCGACTCTCACCAACCCCTGATGCCTGAAATGCAACTAGCTCAGAGGAGTTTCACTCTAGCGAAAATAGCACGGAGATTTCTCATTCCCTCATCTCCTGGGTTCCCGTAGGACAAACAGTCCATGATAATAGTAATAATAATAATAAATAATAAATCATTTAATGACCACTTACTATGTGCTAAGGACATGCACTGAATCCTCATGACAGCCCTTTGAGGTAGAGCCCATCATTACTTCCATTTATGGAGAGAAATCCAAGACTCAGCGCGATTAAGTAACGTTACCCCCCTGTATGTGGGCTCCCAAAGACAAAAGGATTTCTTCTCTTTCTTTTCGAAATTATTTCCCAGAATCTAGACCCAGTGATTTTCAAGGACAAATGGGACTGGAACTATGCACTTGTGTTTTCATTGACCCTTCAAACAGCCATTCAGGCAGGTATGATGGTCCCCTTTTACAGATAAGGGAAGAGAGGCTCAGAGAGGGCAAGTGACCTGCCTGAATCACACAGCCCGCAAGCCGTGGAGCCCAGGGTGTGAACCAGGTCTGGCTCCCACAGCATCACAGCTCGTCTGTGAGTAAACTGTCAAGAGGAGAAGGAGGAGGGGAAAGAGGAAAGAGAAGGAAGCATGGGAGAGGAGGGGAGGAGAGGGAAGGGAAGGGGAAGAAGCCAGACTCAGCACCTAGAAGGAAAAGGAGAGAAAGGCCGGCAAGCCGGGTCCTCGACTTACATAATATCTATTAGTCGACTTCCAGGGACAGGGAATCTGTGCCTCTCCCTTCAGGCGCAACTCTCCTGGCTCTTGGAAGCTGGTTTTGGCTCCCACACAGGGATGTGGAAAACATGAACATTCCAGGCATCCAGCTATGGGAACAGAGCCCCAACCTTGGCTGTTAAGGGCACCCAGCGGGAAGTTTCCAGAAGCCCCTGGGGCAGCTGCATCAGAGTCTGGTCCCCCCTCCTCAGCCCGCTCCCCTGCTGGCTCTGACCTGCCCAGCTCTAAACCTTCCTCTCTGAATTGAGAGCCTGAGACGCCCCTCCTGCCTCTCCCCAGGGCTCCAGGAAAGGGTTCAGCCATCCTCTGAGGAGTCTGCTTAGAAGTCAACCGGACAGGCCAGAGTTCATGTCCTCACTCTGACCCCAACAAGCGGGGACACTCGGCCTCCCCAAGGTGCCTCCAGGGAGTGCCGTTCACCCCAAAGTTTGCGTGGATGTGTCGCCTGGAGCTGTGCGATGGGGAGGCCCGCTTTCTGCGCCTCGCCTCCCCGCCTCTAGGTGGAGCTGTAGGACCACTCCCCAGGTCCTGAGGAGGCTGCATCCTGGCGTCTCAGCTCTGAGCAGGTGTATCTAGCGTGATGCTGTCAAACATGGGGAGATGAGAGGGCGGGCTCAGGAGACAGACAAGCCTGGGGTCCGGGCCAGCCTCTGCTGTGGGCTGAGATACTGAGCCTCATTTTCTGGCACTTTGAGGTGAGAGGGCATCAGCCCCCTGGGGGGTTGTAGAGGGTGAAGGAAGTCAAGATGTGGCCTGCACTTAGGAGGCGCTAGTGATGGTGGTTGCTGTTTTTGCCAGTGTTACAGGTCTGCCACACCACTTCCCTCCCTCATCCGACTTCCCCACCCACAGTTGGGTCCGGGCCGACAGCCCCCTGGGCACCTCCCTTCAGGCCCTGTGCTGCCTCAAGGAATCAGCCCCGTGACACCTTTAGCAGCATCCACAGCATCTCCCAAATATTAGAACCTTGGTTTCTACATCTCCCTCCCCACAGTGTGGAATTTCTGGCCTTAGCGCACCTCCTACCCACAAGGAATGAAAGTGAGGGGCGACCAGACAGCGGGGGCTCTCGGACCTCTGAGCTGGCCCCCGCCCCTCGCCCCTTGCTTGTTTTGGCTCCCTGTCAAGAATGCTGGCCCAGGCCTGGGAGGCTGACTGACCTCAGACTCCAGAGGGAAAGTCACACTTTTGCTCAACTCCCCGGAGCAGCCCTGCATTCCAGGAGGGGCGTGGGAAGGGCCAGGCTTCCCCCGGCTGAGCTGAGCAGGGAGCCGTCTGCAGCCTGGCCATCTGCACAGCCTCTGCCGGCCCGCG